ACAGTGTAATAAAAACAAAAGCCTGGTGTACCATATTACAAGTAGATGCCATTTTAGGTAAGCCTGGAGCACCTCCACCCATCACAGTGGCGTAACCAGAGTTATGGGCGCCCGGGGCAGAACATTTCCCCCCCCCCATATTATATAAACATCCACTGGAACTGTACCCCCCACCCCCACACATATATATCAGCTAAGGAACTACAAGTCCAAGCATGCCATCATTGTCCCTGTACACCCCCCACACACACATATCACCCAGGGAATGGCAATATCTGGTTGTGGTACAGGGGCAATGAGGGCATGCTGGGACTTGTAGTTCCCTAGCTGATATGTTATGAAGCTGTATTCCACCTGAAAGTACTACAATGCCATTATAGAACTAAGAATAGAACATAAAATAAAACTTTTTTTTTTCTAATACTCACCTGATTCCTGGATCCACCAACAAGCGCAGCCTCCCGTCTCCCACGCTGTTAGAAGCTGCATACAGCGTGTGCTGGTTACTACTTAAACCGGCGCGCGCTGTATGCAGCTTCTGATAAGATACGCTATTAGCATAGCGGGGAAGGCGGCTGCGCATTTTCCATAGCTCCAGCTGCACTAATAGCGTATCTTCTCAGAAGCTGCACACTGCGCGCGCCGGTTTAAGTAGTAACCAGCACACGCTGTATGCAACTTCTAACAGCGTGGGAGACGGGAGGCTGCACTTGTTGGATCCAGGAATCAGGTGAGTAGTATTAAAAAAAAAAAAAGGTTTTTATTTTATGTTCCCGGGGACATTTAAAAATGTCCCCGGATTTTATTTTAAAAAAATGTGTCACCTTACCTTAGCCTGGTGGTCAGTGGGGGCTTCCTGGACCCTGGTTGTGGGGGGGTCTGCCGTGGACCCTGGTTGTGGGCGGGTCTGCCCCCTTCATACAGCACACAGAGACACCCCCCGACATGCAGCACAGAGTAACCCCCCGACATGCAGCACACAGAGACCCCCCACATGTAGCACACAGAGACCCCCCACATGTAGCACACAGAGACCCCCCACATGTAGCACACCGAGACACCCCCCCATGCAGCAGATCTACTTACAGTTCTGTACACTGCAGCAGCACAGCCAGAAGCAGGTCCCTGATCAGATGGCTGCTCTTTGGAACTGTGTGGTCGAGGCTCCAGCACGGCCGCATAACCTGCCCTAACGGAGCCTGTTGCCTTGCTGCCTTGATCTGTTTGACAGTCGGCCCGGCTCGCGGCAGGCGCCCCCCCATGTAAGCGCCAGGGGCAAACGCACCCCCCGGTTGTTACGCCACTGACCCATCAACAGAGTTAAAACCCATCCCTATGTAATATAACACATTTGTATGCCAGCATCACATGACTAGAAGAGCTGCAATGCCTGATCTTGCCAGAGGTGGTGTTGTAGGTAGAATTTCATAGTACATGAATCTGGAAATACTGTGCATTTCTTTTTTGTTTTTTTTTCTTGGGGAGGGGGCATTGTGTTTGTATTGTAACAGGATATTACCTATCACTTTATATAAATGTCAGTAAAGGCAGCAAACATATTTCTAGTAGAGGTGTCCCTAATAGGAATCATCATCTAAACAACAACCACAAACCTTGTTTATGCTTCATTTTGATTTAAAGTACACTTTTTTACATCTACTTATGCTTTTATACAGTATATCACTCCTTATAAAGAGGAATAAACAACTAACACCTTTTACTAAGCTCTAATGTGCCAAACACATGTAACTCTGTTTCTACAAGCATTAAGAGAGATCACAAGCCAGCCTTGCTGGTGGGAGTACCAGGGCGATGTATATAAGTACCCTTTAAAAAGTACTAAATACATCTGAACACTGCATATTCTACTCAGGTGTGTTTTGCACACATTAGTTGTCACGGGTTGTGCTGCCTCTGTTTTAACATTAGAGACCTATTATCTCTTAAAACTAAACTCCGGTCATACCATAACAGTACATAAAATAAGCCCCCCTCCCCATTCCCCATTAATAAGGGTCTAATGATTGTTTACTTTACTTACCTTATACCTCTTTCCTGAATCTTCTTCTAGTTCTTGGATGGATGAATTGTAACAAGAAGCCCCTACTCCAGTTGTGTAGCCACCCCTGACCAACATCATCAGGTACAATGTGTATCATTCTTCTTGCATTGTACATGAAGATACTGAAGGCACACCCCTATTTCGGGGCTGGAGCAGGAGCGTAGAATCGCTGGCTGCCAGGAAAGCGAGAACTAAGGTAAGTATTCCTCTCTATTATATCCCCCAGACCAGTGATGGCGAACCTTTGCTCTGGTTTAAGAAACGTTCAACATCAACACCAAGCGACATACCTTACAAGCGGGGCCGGGATAGCGTGACTGTTCGGGGCAACGTTCCAGCGACGAACGCGCGACCTTCACCGTCGGGGTGCATTCAAAAATAGAGAAATCGTGCGACATCCGCGGGAAAAAGGGTCCTGCTGAAGCGACAGCGACGAGCGACATGGAGCTGTACATTAGAACAGCTCCATTAAATGACATTGGCCGGCGACTTCTCGCGATAGTGCACATAGCGGCCGTCTAATCTGCCTGTTTAGAGGCCGCTGCCTGAATGTGACTGGCCCGGATCGCGTACTGAGGCGATCCGGGTCGGTCGGATCTATTTCCATTGGTGGTCACTGATCCTGGGCTCGCATGCCAGCAGAGAGGGCCCCACGTGCCCTCGTTGGCACGCGTGCTATAGGTTCGCCACCACTGCCCTAGACCAATGGTTGTTGACCTTCACGCTATAGGGAGTCTCATATGCAGCCTTTGACATTACCAAAGTAGTATTAAGCATATAAAAGGAAATAATGGTCAAACTATGGACATGCCACAGGCTCGGATGGAGATTGGAGACATGCCAACAAAGACATTGAGAGACTTGAGACATGTTACATGAGGTCAAAAGAAATCATTGCTGTTACCCCTTAAAAATCAATGCGCTCATTCTCATAACAGACTGTTGGGGTCTGGCGGATGTAAATCATATACCAAAGGGATGCATGTTGCCTTCAGGCCACAGGTTGGGCACCTTGAACCAAACAAGCACTAGATGTGCATGTAAACCCCTATAAATACAACATATTGCAGCTTACCAGTCCATGGGTGTGGTGACCGCATTAGGTGTAGTTTTCAGAATTTTTACTCGGTGATACTGCCAATAACCCACTTCCTGTCCTAGGATGACAACTCCCACTTACTGCACCATATCTTTTGTGCAGCAGCGTTGTCAGCCTAGACCACTCTCCTGATTTGGATTACAAATGCTCCCCCCATCCTCATTCATTACATGGGGTGGTGGTGTTTTTGAGACATCTGTTCAGCAACAGTGAAGAGGACACTGAAATTCTGGCAGGATCAACAGGTATTTTCTAGACTTGCAGAAATGTACTTAGCCTGAAAAAAAGAAAATGAAAGCAGCCACTACATCAAAGGGCTTCCCAGCAGGGAAGAGAGAAAGTGACAGCCAGCCGAGCGCTGCGGGAGGAGACTGCTGTGATCGGCGGGTGTCTCTCCTCCCACACCGCTCAGCCGACTATAACAGTGCGGCAGAGCGGTGTGGGTGCGGAGACAGTGCTGTCACAGGAATGTGTGGGGGTGGGGGATGGGGGTACAGTTCCGGTGGATTTTTATATAATGGGAGGGGGCAAATAAAATTCTGCCCCGGGCGCCCATAACTCTGGTTACGCCACTGGCTTGTAGGCATAAAGTGAAGTGCAGGGGGAGTAAAACGTTCTCTGTCCAATGTTTAGAGCCGGCATAGGACAATACAGCTGTTCCACACCAGCTATAAGACCAAGTGCTGACCAATCACGTGACTGCTGATCAGTCAGTTCACGGTCTCTGTTCTCAATGGAGAGCAGACTGTCAATTACCACCCCAGCAGGGATTTCACGGTCTAGGAGTTAGACAGCCAGAGTGAATCCTGACAATATTGCTGGGTATTTTCTCAACTATGGTGTGGCTTTGTCCTGTGAGCTGATAGCTGGCATTAGCCGGTTGTCTGCTGACTCTGAGTCACAGGAGTACATTAGTACATTTTGTGACCCAAAAGAGAAGTAAAGGCTTTTTTCAGCTTTACTTCTCTTTTGGGTCACAAAATGTACTAATGTACTCCTGTGACCCAGAGGTTCCCTTCACTTCTCCTTTAATATATTACATTTTTGTACTTGGGTTTACATATCCTGCAAGCTGCATTGCTCCTGATTTTAAAGGGTAATCATCACATGGTTTTAGAAAGACAGTCTCTTTGTATTTTAGCCATGCAGTGAAAACATCATTTTGGACATTCAGACTATTGGAATGGCACATGATTTCCATGGCCGTGGACGCTTGATTGCGCTTCAGGAAGAGAAATTTTCCAAAACACAATAGCAACTAATTCACACATTTTTTTTTCTATTGTTCAGATTTAGTTATTCCCGTTTATCTATACATGTCAGTGCCAAGATCTGTCACAAGGCACTCTCTGATCAAACACATTTCTCCCAAAACGATTGTCAAGGTTATATCTATATTTAGACATACATTTTAGGGAAACAAAACTTCTCCTTGACATGACATTAATCCTTATAGCAGACGTTTATATTCTGGAAGTAGTATTTCAGAATCTCAAGAGAAGACAGCCAACACTATTAACTGTAATGGCTCTACTTTCTGTTCTGAATAATACCCACTTCTATGTGCCCCACCTGAGTCAGACACTAGAAGCAATATCCTTTCACTGGAAAATTCCACCAAACAGCAATAGGTGTTCATAGACAGCCTCACAGCCTCATACTTTACTCGTGCTTCCCTAGCCCCAAACAACACCGACACGAATGGGTTTTTAATTTAAAGGGTCATTGATAAAGCAGAAAGCGAAGAAGGCAGGCTGATGGATTTGACGCACACAAATAAAGCAGTAGTCTAGTCCTCTAGGTTAGCAGGAGAGAAAAAAAAACATTCATAAAGCTTACCTTTTCTGGAGCAGAAAACTGCAGATGATTTACATCCAAGGGTGTGATCAAAGGCACCGTCTGAAAGCCATCTTCAGCAGAAGCTTCCTTAGTGTTCTTGTCACTCAGATTACTCCCCAGCTTCACCATCCTTATTCCTCTCTTCCCACACCTAGAGGAACCAGCAAAATATCCAAGATCAGTGAAAAAGCACCTTTTATAGGTATAAATGGAGGTGAGCAGCTCTGATCACAATTAAAGGTGTATTGTTATTGCATAATAGTGTGTTTGATTTACTGGTATAGATCAGAGATGGAGGGTATAGAAGGGAAAATGTGTCTTGCATGCGCAGGTATTGTAATATTGAGCAATCAGGGAGTGTCTCCTATATATAAAACAGAATACTCACGATGAGAAGCTTTCTGTCTATGTCCAGGCTGGTGGGAGCAGAGGCGAGCGCTGTTCGTGGTGCTGATGCAGACAACGATCCTCGAACGACGGCTTGTGACAGATTCTAAAGGCGAGCAGGGCGCCTATTGCAGCACGCTGTTCCTGCGGCACTCGCTCGTTCTTCGCCTGTACAAGGGCGCCCTCAGCTGTCCAAATTGCAGAATGCATGGCAATCCATTCACTGACCAACTACTCCCTCCAGCAGCAAAGCCTCCTGCAGAGGGAACAGGCTGCCACTGTTACCTAAATATAGACTTGTAGCCTGGCTAGATTTATTTCTAAAGGATCACATTGTAAAGTCATCGTGATGATGACTAAAAAAAAAGATGAAGTCATAACTGCTTATGAGAGGCTTTAGGTACACTGGCGACTTTTGCCCTTGCTATGAAATGTCCCCGGCCATTCTTTAGAGCAATGAGAAAAGTATGCGTCATGTTTCCTTAGAGACCAGACAATGCAGCGGTTTGATGGATGTCATGGCAGAATGGCTGTAGACACGAATATGTAATTAGAAATTGTTATTCCGCGCTCTCCCTTTTACGCCCACCCACCAGCTGCTCATGTTTAAATTTTAAAAAAAACCTGGTCCAGGTCCTTGAAACAATCCTGTGTTCCAAAATGACAGCGCTCAAAAGTAATAATACCCTAAAAGTGCTACTAATTACATTGGGGGAATTCATCAAACTGGAGCAGACAGAATCTGGAGCAGTCGTCCATGGTAAGGTAACCAATCAGCTTCTCTCTTCAGTTTGTTCAGTTAAGCTTTGACAATGAAACAGAAAAGCTAATTTTATGCCATAGGCAACTGCTTCAGATTCTGTCTGCTCCAGTTTTTATGAATTCCCCTCATTATGTCAATCTAAATAAATACATAAACATGTGTTACAACATCCCCCTCCCCCCTAAAAAAAAAAAGCTGCACCCAAAACTGAGGATTATATGTAATTAGGATCATGTTTTAGGAAAAGTCCATTTAAGGTGGAGCTTTTGGGCTTAGGGAATTTTTTATTAGTCTATTTATTGAGATCAGGGGTAGGCAACCGTGGCACTCCAGCTGTAGCAGAACTGCAAGTCCCATGTGGCATTGCAAGACTCAGACAGCCAGAGGAAAGGGCAGAGACATGATGGCATTTCTGGTTTAACCACATCTACAGTTCCGTTGTGCCTATCTCTGATCTAGACTATGTCACTTTTAGTCCCTGTTCACAGTATAGTGTATTGCAAACAAAAAGTGCACACTTTGACACACGTGCACAAACGCAGGACGTACTTGCAATGCTATTAATAGTTACTGGCACCCCAAACGTAGATGAGTAAATGCGTGAGAGCGTGCATGAATGCATGGGAAAAAGTGCTACATCAATCAATGTTCAGTAGAAAAACAAAAAACAACCGTGCGCCTTTCCTGGTGCAGGTAAAATCTTTTTATTTAGTAAAAGAGTAACCAAAAGTATACCCACAAATAAAGCTGTATGTAAAAGCATCAAATTGGACAGGTAGTCCTTGTTTGAATAGCTGCTGTGGATGTACCAATAGGAGAGATTGAGGAGACTCTGTGATGGACTTCAATCTCAGTACAAACTAGTAGTCCATCACTGGAGCCATTTTTCTTTTTATCCAACTAATCGAACATAATAATCGGCTAACTAATTGATTTTGAAAATAATCCTTAGCTGCAGCTCTAGATGAATGGACACCCTACACCAGGGATCCCCCACTAACCACCAGGGATCACCCACCAACCACCAGGGATCCCCCACTAACCACCAGGGATCCCCCACTAACCACCAGGGAGCCTCCACTGGCCACCACAGAGCCCCTACTAACCACCAGGGAGCTACCACAGAGCCACCACTAATTATTAGGGGGCCACCACAGATCCCGCACTGACCAGCAGAGAGCCCGCACTGACCACCTGACAGTCCGCATTGGCCACCTGAGAGCCTAATTAGGGAGCCGCCTCTGCTGCACACACACGCACCTGTGAAACTCTCGACCACTGGTGAGAGCCCGCACAACCCTCCTGAGACCCTGGAGACATCAGGCGGAGAACCCAGAGCAACTAGCTCGCGCTATACTGAGCTTAGGGTAACGGGAGGACGCTAGTTTGTGTCCTCCCGTTACCCTAGGGAGAACCATGGGGAAAAACACTGACCCCATAGTTCTCCTTTAATATCAAGCTTTAACTAATACTTATATTACAAGGAGAGAGATACTTGTTGATTATTTTGGTTGAAAATTATAGCACAGGGCCTAAAACACTAAAGTTGGCAGCTTAAGACCACTTTGTGCTGAGACTGTTGTCCACAGATTACAAATGTATCTCCATAGCAGGTCAGACACAGGTTGTACCGAGGGTTAACACGTTTCGTTGTTCAAAACACACCACTGATTTCACTGCCCTTAATTACTCTTCATTTCCCCATGATCAAGTCATTTTATTCTCCTCTTTGTGTATATTTTGTGCCGTTTACGATTTATACTGATATTGGAAATAGTATGCATGTATCCAGGACACAGTCTTACATAATACACAACAACACTTCCCGCTCTCGCTAACCCTGTCATTATCCCTGCGCACCCACCATCTCTTTTAACACATCTCTCTGTCAAGCAGTGGTGGTCCATCCCACCCGCAACTCCTCACAAAGTGGCCTTGTAATCCCTTTGGTTTGTAGGAGGTGCCAACCTAGTGTTCTAGGCCCTGTGCTATAATTTTTTACCACAACAATCAATTAACGTCATCCTCTGTAAAATTAGTACTAGTTAAGCCTGACATTTCATTTTTAAGCATTTTAATGATTTTAAACTCTTTAACTATAAATTGTTTTGAATCATGAAATGAAAGAACTCTGAGCAAAACTTTTATTAAATCGTGCAGTGGGGCTGTCCCTCGGTGTCCTCACGTCTATACAGTACACTGGAGGGAATTTATCAAAACTGGAGCAGATGAAATCTGGAGCAGCTGTGCATGGCAACCAATCAGCTTCTCTCTTTCATTTTCAAATCTTAATTGAACAAACTGAAGAGAGAAGCTGATTGGTTGCCCTGGGCAACTGCTCAAGATTTTGTCTGCTCCAGTTTTAGTAAGTGTATAGCATGTAATGATTTACTGGACCTTAGACCACTGCAGCGGAGGGGGGAGAGAGAATCCTGGGACTGGTGTAAGAGCCACTTGATAAAGACTTTACCAGCACTCAAGGATAACGTGTCAAAACAAAAAAATGTCTATTTATTGACACATATTGTCACTCAAACAAAGCGCTTTCAGGGCCATGCAGGGCCCTCTTTATCAGGCTCAGAAATGACAATGCATACTTTCCAACACCACCATTATATGGACATACAACAAGGAATGAAGTTATAGCTGTAGCCTCATTCCTTGTTGTATGTCCATATAATGGTGGTGTTGGAAAGTATGCATTGTCATTTCTGAGCCTGATGAAGAGGGCCCTGCATGGCCCTGAAAGCGCTTTGTTTGAGTCACAATATGTGTCAATAAGTAGAATTTTTTTGTTTTGACACGTTATCCTGGTGTGCTGGTGACGTATTTATCAAGTTATTCTACAAGCGGCGCCATCCAATTTGATTATATCTGGGACAACTCAATATTTGTCTAAGAGCAAGCCGGCTCTTAGGATTGGGCGAGTATGGTGGGGGTAGCCCCACTGCAAGGGTTAATAAAAGTTTTGCCTGGAGTTATATTTTAAATGTGTGATTTTACATTTTGGATCCAGATGAATAATTGACTTATTCACCAATGTTTTTATCAGTAGTTTTAGTTGTATTAGCTTTTTTTATTAGTGTTTTCAAAGTGTCTTCAGTTTTCATCATGATTTGTATTAAAGGGTAACTATGGTCAAAAGCTCAAAATAAATATGTATTTTTATTTTGAATTTCCATACGTTCTATCCCACTCCTAAGCAAATAAAGTATTGAGTATAAAGTACATTAGAAGTTCATAAACTTACTTACTGAAGATGCCCTCAGGATGTACTTCCTCAATGCACTGACACAATTTCACTCAGCCCTGTTGTTATGTACTTTGTTGTGTTACAACTCACACAAAGCCTGCCTTCTGAACTACAACTCAACATCTAAACAATGTAACATTATCATAGCTTGCAGGAAGCAATGCATATTGGGATATGTAGTCTTGAGAATTAGGGACTGCACCACATCGAGCAGCAGCAGGGAAAGAAATGCAAAGCACATTGGGAATCCAAGAAGCTGATGAAAGTGATGGGCAGACAGAAGGCAGCACTCACTACATAAAAGGGATTTTTTTCGAGTAAGCTTTGATTGCATTATCAAAAACAACTCCGGTATGTATTCCTATTACAACGCTGATGTTATAAGAGGAGAGTAGATGCTGGGACTTATATCCATATAAGCCTTCATGAATGGGGCAAGGCTTTAGCCCCTTTATGGGGCTGTCCTGATCACATTGGTGATTCATGGGGCTGTCCTGATCACATTGGTGATTCATGGGGCTGTCCTGATCACATTGGGGATTCATGGGGCTGTCCTGATTACATTGGGGATTCATGGGGCTGTCCTGATCACATTGGGGAGTCATGGGGTTGTCCTGATCACATTGGGGATTCATGGGGCTGTCCTGATCACATTGGGGATTCATGGGGCTGTCCTGATAACATTGGGGATTCATGGGGCTGTCCTGATCACATTGGGGATTCATGGGGCTGTCCTGATCACAATGGGGATTCATGGGACTGTCCTGATCACATTGGTGATTAATGGGACTGTCCTGATCACATTGGTGATTCATGGGGCTGTTCTGATCACATCGGTGATTCATGAAGCTGTCCCGATCACATTGGTGATTAACGGGGCTGTCCTATTCATGCGGCTGTCCCAATTACATTAGTGAGTCATGGGGCTGTCCTGATCACATTGGTGATTAATGGGGCTGTCCTGATCACATTGGTGATTAATGGGGCTGTCCTGATCACATTGGGGATTCATGGGGCTGTCCTGATCACAATGGGGATTCATGGGACTGTCCTGATCACATTGGTGATTAATGGGACTGTCCTGATCACATTGGTGATTAATGGGACTGTCCTGATCACATTGGTGATTCATGGGGCTGTTCTGATCACATCGGTGATTCATGAAGCTGTCCCGATCACATTGGTGATTAACGGGGCTGT